GGGTACAGATTCTATTGTCCAAATCACACTACTAGGGTAATTGAATCTGACCGAGCTTACTTCTTTGAAGATGCCTTAGACAGTGAGAGCTCTGTGCCTAGGCATATTACCTTGCATGACGAAAGTAGCATTTTGCCTATGCCTATCTTGATAACTCCTCATGTTGACAGAAATAATGCCATGGATCAGAATGAAGCTCAAGATGAACCACCTTTAGAGGGTGATAGGGACATGGTTGTTGAACCGAGACGGTCCCAAAGGGTTCGCAGGTCTGCTATTCCAGATGATTACATGGTATATTTGCAGGAATTTGATTCAGATGCTATTGATAGTTTAGACCCAATGTGTTACCAGGAGGCTATTTCTAGCTTGCATTCTTCTGAATAGTTGGAGGCTATGAGTGAAGAAATTGCCTCTATGTACCGCAATTAAGTATGGGAGCTTGTAGAGCTACCAAACGGGTTTAAACCAGTGGGTTGCAAGTGGGTCTTTAAAACAAAACGAGGAGCTAGAGGTGAAATTGATAGATATAAAGCCAGACTTGTAGCTAAAAGCTACAACCAGAAAGAAGGTATTGATTACACAGAAACCTTCTCTCCGGTATCCACCAAAGATGCTTTTAGAGTGGTAATGGCTTTAGTTGCATAGCTTGATCTTGATCTTCACCAGATGGATGTCAAGACTGCGTTCTTGAATGGCGATTTGTATGAAGAAGTCTACATGACACAACCTGATGGTTTTGTTGAATTCGGTAAAGAACATCTAGTGTGCAGATTAAAGAGATCCATCTATAGGCTAAAACAGGCCTCTAAGCAGCGATATCTGAAATTTGATGAAGTTATCACCTCTCTCGGTTTTGTTGAGAATGTCTCAGATCAGTGCATCTATCAGAAGTTTGATGGGAAACAATTTTTCCATTCTTGTTCTCTATGTTGATGATATCTTATTAGCTAGCAATTCAATAAATTTCTTAATGAGATAAAGCACCTATTGTCTTACCATTTTGACATGAAGGATATGGGTAAAGCCTCCTTTGTTCTTGGGATACAAATTCATCGTGATAGATCTTGTGGTATTCTTGGTTTATCACAGGCCACTTATATTGAGCGGGTACTTAAGAAATTTCAAATGGATTCATGTTCTCCTTCACCTGCTCCTGTACAAAAAGGTGAGCTGTTGTCAAAGTTACAGTGTCCCAAGGATGATAAGAAGAGGGCTGAAATGAGAAACATACCATACGCTTCCGCTGTCGGCAACCTTATGTATGTTCAAGTGTGTACTCGACCAGATATAGCCTTTGCCATTGGAGTGCTGGGTCGATACTTAAATGATCCAGGTCCGGATTATTGGAAGGCTGCTAAGAAAGTTATGAGGTATCTTCAAGGTACAAAGGATCATATGTTAACTTACAGAAGGTCAAATTCCCTTGAGGTTGTTGGGTATTCTGATTATGACATTAAGGGATCAGAAGATCTTGAGATTGTTGGTTTTCAGATTCAGATTTTGCCTCTTGTCTGGATGATCGTAAATTCACGACTGTCTATATTTTCATGTTGTCTGGAGGAGCTGTCTCTTGAAAGAGTGTGAAACAGACACTTACGACAGTTTCATCTATGGAAGCTGAGTATGTTGCTTGCTTTAAGACTACACGTCACGCTATATGGTTAAGGAAGTTGATATCTGGCATACACCTAGTTGAGTCAATATCACGTCCTCTAACCATTTATTGTGATAACAAATCTGCAGTATACTATGCTAATAATCACAGAAATTCCAATCGTACAAAGCATTTTGATATCAAACTTATGTTTATGAAAGAGAAAATTACTGAGTCTCAAACCCGTGTGGTACACATTCCTGGCACGCAGATGCTTACAGATCCATTGACTAAGGGCTTATCTGTAGAAGTTTTTCAAAATCATGTAACTTGCATGGGTATTGTGAATTCCTTTGATGCCCTAGTTTGGTGGGAGTTTGAGAACCTTTTATGTTGCAATTTCTCTTTAGGCTTTGTTTTCTTCTGTGAGTTATGTTCAGTTCAGTTAGATGCGTCTATATCATTTGTATCCCTATAGGATTCAATGATTCTGTTGTGGTACGTTATGCATGTCACTTGTTTCCCCATAGGAATCAGTGATTTATATTGTTATCTTACTGAGCTATATTTGAAATAAAATTTCATGTTTTACTCAGATTATGAGATATCATATCACTTGTTTCCCCATAGGATTCAGTGATTTTGTGGAGTTTCATTTTCTGAATTTGTTTGTGACTTGTTTATACAACTTGCTTAATTAATGCAATCCAAGTGGGAGATTGTTGGAATATTATTTATGAATTAGCATTAATTAATAAGCCCAATAAATTGGTCCTTATGATCTTGTGTGGACCGTGATAGGTGGACCACACAAGTGAGCCTAATGGACAGAGGCCCAACCCACAATCCAGTAGCCGTCGGTTATTTTCTATCTCTTAACTGACTGAGTCAGAGATAATAAATAATATAATTATTTAATTATTTAATAAGGCAGTTACCGATCTGATCTATATAAGATGATTAGTCAGTAACCGCAAACACACGACTCATTTTTTCTTCTACTTCCATTATCTCTGAACTCTCTGAAAGCTCTGGGGACTTGTGGGTTGTGTACCTGCCTATACTCGAGGTAATTGAGATCTCTCTAGCACTCATAGATTCTTCAGGTACGCATACATTACTTTACTTGTCTATATGAATTGAGACATTTAGATTCAACAATTTTTTCATAACAAAACTATAAAATTTTAAAGATAACCTTACACACTTAATCATTACTCCTACAGTCCTATCGGTCTTATTTATAGGATAAAAAGAGAATATTTTTGCTCCTATTTACAAGTTACCTAGTTAAATTAAAATTTTTTCTTTTACTCCTCATTGAATGTTGGAGAGAGAAAATATATTGTTAAATTTTAATATAGAGTTAATAAATTTTAAAATTTTTCTTGATTCCGATAAAATATACTATAAGTTACTTATAAATAGGGTTGGAGGAGTAACCTTCATTAAATTCTCTCTTCGGTTGAAGGGTAATATTAGAAAAGTATAATTAATAAAACATTTCCCCCCTTATATTGTCTTATATTTTAGAATAAAAAAATTCTCTAAAGTTATTTTGTAATTTCAGAATGAGTGAGTACTTCATCAATTTTCAAAATGATTGTTGTTTTTTAGTTTTTTTTTCCCATTGTCTTGCTTTAAAACAAGCTTGTATAGTTGTTTGATGATTCTCATGCTTGGTTTATACAGTCCCTTTGAACTAATACCTCCCTCTTAATTTATAAGACATTTTTTATTGGGGTTTTCAACTTATATCCCTCTCGATTAGCTCAATTCTATTCCTATCATATCAGGGTAGGTCTCAATCCAACTTGAAAACAATCAAGATGGAATTTTGTAAGTCAAAACAGGAAAAGAATTTGAGACGGGATATGAGAGTATACTCGAGATCCCATCTCGAATATTATATATGTATATATTATTTTTTATTTTAAAAGTATCTATTATTTTTTTATTAAATCTATCAAATACCCTATTTGTTAGACCAAATACTTATGCTTTCTAGAAAATGTTTTATATTATAGTTGGCGGAGGAAGTATATGTGTGTATTAAACTGCACTCTCACTCAATATATACGTACAATAATACACCTCCTTCACTCTAAACTCCTCCTACACCATAGGTTAAATGACAGCATGCTGTCCATGTGAAGTTTGATATTTTCTGTTAATTGCTGATATCTTAATTTATATGCAAAGCTTCAACGCAAAAGAATTGAAGGGAGGCAGTATTTAGTATTTATCGTCTCTTTTCCCGAACGTATTCTCCTTATCACCAATAACATTATGAAGATTAATTAATATTGACATAGAATATTAAACTTAAAATAAATTGTATATTGTCCTCATATTGTAAACAGTGACCTTTTCCCCTCCAATTCTGCATTAACCCCAGAGGCCAGATATCAAACCTGATACATTGGCACTGTGGGAAATTTGAATAAAAAAAATTAAAGAATAAAAATAGCGTAACTACCCATATTGTTTCAAATTATCAATATTAATATATATACCATTGTGTACATAATTTATATATAGAAAATCACACTGTTCATAAGTTATCAACCTATGAATAGCATGGGTTATTTATCAGACTTCATATAATATATACTAGGCCTACAGCTAGTTTTATAGGATATATTATTGATTTTTTTATATTTTAATATTATATAAAAATCTATATTCTTTTCCTGCATGGAAAAAAATCTATATCCTCTATCACCACAACAAGATAATTTTTTTTTGATAGAATTAGTGATGGAAATTTTTTCGTTGTGAAGTCATCACAAAATCATATATGGAAATTTTGCGAATTCGCCCCAAAAACTTTGCACCGGTTCTCTTGCCTGTGATAGGATGGTTGATTGCAAAATTTGTCATCAAGTCGATTTGTAATGGATTTTTCTTGATTCCTGCAGTAGATTTTCATGGTAAAATTCACTCATTCTTTAGTGTTAAATTTATGTAAATATAATTTGGTCATTTTAGTTTTAGCTAGCTTAAGTTTTTTTTTGCTCTTATTATTTATTTAGTTTTAATTTATTCCCTTGATATTATCATAAATTAGGTGATCTTGGACATTTTACAAGACATGGGAAATTGGGAGTGCATAACATGGCATACAATTGTTTGAATAATACAGCATGTTGTAAACTTCATATTTATTTTTGTGATAATAACAATCATTTTATCTTTCTTTTGCTTCAGTCTATTTATTAATTTGAAAAAAGAAAAAGTAACACTTGTGGTACATGAGAAAAGGGAAAGACAAAAAAGCTTTTGGCAGAAGAATAAGACATTTGGCCAAGAGAATAAGACAGAATCGAACCTCCAAAAAAAAAAAATTATGTATTTCATAGGGCTTTACTCATATCAATAGATGACAAATGAAATATATATATATATATATATATTTGGAATCATACTGTATCTCTACTTCGTAGCTCATGATGCATTGGTGGAGTACACTTCTTGGTTGTGAGAAGTTAAAGAGACATCATCTGTCTATACATACGTACGCTAATTAATTGGTGGTCAAGGATTGCATGACCAATATCATTATTACAGTTCTGCAACAACTACATACGTGTCGATTTCAGAAAGATATAACGTCAATCTTGAAAACCCTTGGTCAATGGTTATTCAGACGCACCATTCCTTCTGGTCCAACTTACTGAAGGTAGAGCGGACGACAAAAGAGCAACTTAATCGAGCATATACCTGATACCAATCTCACGTTTGAAAAAGAGCAGAGACCATGGATATAAAGTACCTGCGCAGGAGCGCTTGCTAGCCGGTTATAAAGTAATATATAATTTTTATGTCTGAACAATAGAATTCATATATTGGAGATAATAAATAACACACACATATATGAATGAGAACAGAACCCTAATGGTGAAAAACTAAAGTAAACCACGCTTCTTATTTCTGAGATCCCCTGATATACCCCCAAGGTAATATGCATACATGAATACAGTACAAGTATCTGATGGAAAGTGAAGCATGGATATATAGCAGAGTACAACAATAAATGATAGTCTCTGCCACGTTTCACAATCTCATATGCTGAAACTACCATATATCCCACCACCACCCAGCATCACAGGAGAATACATAATCACTTTATTCCATACATTAATTGATTACCAGCTATAATTAGTTGATTGATTAATTCATCAGCGTCTTCTGGCAGCGGTTTCTCGTTGCGCATTGAAGTAGACGGCGGCGACTGGAAGGCCAAGCTCATTTTCTGCAGCGAAATTGCGGGTGTTGAAGTGATCTCTGGAGGAAGGTGGAGTTACACACTGCCTGCGTTTCTGCTTGAATAACACAAACACGAACCTGTGGATCCCTATATTAGGCTTCGGAATCTCATAGCTCACCAATTCTTTGCCTGTAAGGTGCATATCAACACCAAAAGTATTACTCTCTTGATTTCTCCGAGTGATTAGTCGTTTTATCAGATGAATTTATAATTTATAATTATCAGCTACGTACCAAATGTGGCATCTGTTGTGCCTGGGATGTCAGTTACCAGCCTGAAAAAAACACCCAATTTCCACAAAATTTGACTGTTAGCTAGATCTCAATAATTGATTTGCTCTGTACCTTGTCAAAACATGTTTTCTTCGCTGTCTGCCCCGCTCTCTCAGATCGTTTTAACTTGATTTTTCAAGTCATGCACGGTTAGAAACATGAAGTTTTTGAGGTCAGATTTAATTACGTTTGGAGGTTAATGATACTGTGTGATGGAAAGTGCATACACACATACATAATCAAGAATTCTCGGACACAATTATGTATTCGAATATATTTATCATTTTGTGTCATCTATCACTATCTAGCTGGGCAGTCTGGCTTTAAAAGTGTCACCTAACGTAGTCAGAATTTAGATATTAAATAAAACAAGTTGTTTTTATTATCAAAAAGAAAAAAAAAATAAAACAAGTTAGTTTTGATGCATTTAAGTACCACTGCAAGTGTTCCCTGAGATAAGGGTCACTAGGGCCAGGAACATCTGGGTCTGTCATAACCTGCATAAAGAGCATTCTAATATATAAGAGGCGATTAAGGAAGATAATGGAAAGAGTTTTTAAAAAATGAACCAGCTATGGAAGGATTTTCCTTTTGCTGTTTTTGAGTTCTAAACATTGAAAAGAAGAATAAGATGGTGGGAAGAGGAAGAAAAGGTTTCGAAATACCAGAGTGAAGAAGGACCTCATATCAGCTCCAGCAATCTCAACCCTAGGCCTGGTCGTCACTGCGGAGGGGAAGAGCTCGTGCCCATTAAACACTTGCTTGTTGTTTGTGTAAGTCACAGTCATTTTCACACTTGGGTTGAACGAATCAAGAACATCTCCTACCACTCTCCCTACAACAAGAGGTTCTGTTGGCATTCTTGCCATTATTAAGTAACAACGAGAGGGGATATGTATACTGGAAAGAGAGGAGACTACCCTAGAATACAACCTCAGTGAGATATTCCTACTGAGAAATGGGAGAATGAGCTTCACATTTATAGTGTTTTAAAGTAACTTGAAAGGTATATTTTTTTCCTTTAATTCTTTATTCTCAGGGGTCAAAAAAAAAAAAAACACGTATTCAGATATCCTTATACAATCATTGTCTGATTTCTTTATTAAGATACGATAAGTATATATATTTTATTAATAACTATATAGGCTTTATAACTCAACATTAATTAGATGGCTGGATTTTTTATTCTTTTGAAAAATTCTTGTAACATGTCTTGTGATAGTTAAATTCATGTATAAATTAAGATTGCATATGGAAGATACGAAATCAAGAAATGGCTCTATCACATGTCCCATCATTACTAAAAAATATGCTATACATGGCCCTCCTATTGGACGGTCATATTGAAAACTGTCCAATATACAAAAACAACATAAAATAATGGACAGTTTTTTTTGTGAATAACCATCTAATATACCTTGACATATTGGACCATTATTTATAAATTTGTCAACTATATGTTTTGAGTTTATAATTTATGTTAATTTTTTTAATGCAAAATTTATATTGGATAGCTATTTTATATAACTGTCCAATACGTACTTTGTATATTGGACAGTTATTTGAATAACCATCCAATATACATTTTGCATCTTCTCTCCTTCTCTCATCATTATTGAGCACCTTTCTCGTCTGTTTGCAGTAGGTTGAGACGCCGTGGAGCTTACCTTCTTTAGTCATTGACATCGTGGGTCTCCTCTTTTCCTCCATTAAGTGTGCGTCAACTCCGTAAGTGTTCTCGCATCATCTTCTCTTCTCCTTTCTTCTAAATCTCGTGTGTGCTAGAAATCATGTAGCTAGGTTTTGTTGTGTTTGATTGTTGTCTATATTTCATAGGTCATGTTTGATTTCTAATTAGGCTTTAGTTTATTGGATTATATTATATGGATTTTTTGTTATTATTATTGCACATAAGGTGTTCAATGAAATGTGTTTGATAAAAAAAATACCTTTAGCCAAAACCCACTTTAAATTTAAGTTATGGACAGCTTTAAAATGTATGTTAGACCAATAGTGAATATTTAGATAGGAGTTATATTTGTGTGCAAAAAAAAAAAGGATAGGAGTTATATTGAATTTTTATTTTTATCCAAATTTATTGTCTATTTTTTGTGTATTTTTGGTTTGAACAATATTCAACTAATTTGATTAAAAAAATTTGTATCATTTAATTCTTTAATTGATGGTTAAGTAATGTATGAAGTTTTATATAGTAATTAAAATTGTGTATGAGTACTTTAATCTTATTTGAAATTATTATTCATGTGTGACTTTTAACTTTAAATATTATATAATAGTGTTATTGATTGTTGATGATGATGATGTTATTGTGATTAATATGATATGTTAGACTGCATATTGGATGCATTTTTCAAATCAATGATTTTTTTTTTTCAACATTCATATTAGACAGTTCATTATAGGTAAAAAGAACTGTCCAATAATATATTCTTTTTTGTAGTAGTGCATCCCAAAAAGAAAATGGGATGTCTCATCCTGATCCCATCTCTAGGATGGTATAAGATCTAGAAATCCTAGTAAAAGAGAAATATAAAATAAAAAATTAATAAGCAATTAACTTCTACAAGGACAATATTCACATCTTCTAATTTTGAGTAATCAATCTTGTGTCTCATCCTGTCTTAGCTTGTATTTAAATTTGTCTAAGTCTACTGTGTCCTATCCTACATTTTTTTTGAGACGGGTTCAACCAATGGACCGGGGATCACGTTCTTCACTCACAGCCCTGATTATAAATAATTAATAATTATAATCTTAAAATTTAATAATAACAAAATTAACAGGCAGAAGACGGAGCATTCATAATGTAATTGAACTGTAAACAATATGAGTTATATCTCGTTTGAAATATATACTATGTAAGGGTCAAATGTCCCCTCTAAGAAATAAGTCCAATAACAATACCAAAACTATAAAATGCTGCCTAGAAGCACCAAAATATATTAGCTAGGATCTTTTGGCACATTGTTTCGCAACGAGCGATTCCGCTGTGGGATTCTGCGGAAATTATAATATAATGGCCATGATTTGACAAAGTTCCTTCTCCATGGGTTTCTCCGAATCGGTTCTTCCTGATTCGCTGTATTCCTATTCAATGAATTTCTCATCAACGAGGCGTTTCATTTTAAACCCCACCTCAGGTCAGAAAGCATCATGTGAAGTAATCCTGTTTTTGCTGGTCCTCTCCATGCAAGCTGTCAGGTCGGCTGTTTTGATGATCTATCAAAAGCCGGGAAAAACTCTGATAATCCGCCTTCACAATCACATTTCAGAGGCTGATCGTAAAGTGAGATTGTCCTAAGTTTTGTAGAATGCTTTATGACTTGCGTGAAGAACCTTCCTTAATTACATGCACAAAACATATGGATATTGCTGTTTCGGGACGTGTGATTCTTCCCCCTTCTTTTTAGTTTTTCGAGAGATTCTTGTGGAACGGTTCAGGGCATAAAGAAGCTCCACCACCAATGATCAAGGCTGGCTAAGAGGGTTTGTTAGTGGGTAGTGTCATTTCAGAATAAAACATGCAGGCTCAGGGTTTCAAATAAGTTCCAAGTTTAGAGAGGGAACAAGTATGAGTTTCTTAAACTAGAAGCTGATCCGTTCTTCTCCTTCATCAATACGAATTTTTAACATGTTCTCCTTCTGTTTTTATTTTTTTTGTTGACGCGCGTCTGCGTTTGCGCATTCTCGGCCTTGCCTTAAAATAAGGGAATTCTTATAAAAACATCACTAACGTTTAGTGGCAATGTGGCATATATAGTTCCATTTATAATTTATTATTAATTAATAGCAAGCATTAGTACTTTCATTTAGTGAGGAATTAGTGAATGGAATAATATGTCCCGCTGGGGTATAAATTGCACTGTTGCAGTTGTCATTTTTATATAGAATATATATATTACTAGCTAACTACAAAAAGTGTAGCTATGTATCTAATGGCCACTTGTTAGGAATGGAGAGCGGCTGCTTGAGATGAGAATGGGGGGAGAGAAGATGTGGGTAAGATTAATGAAAAGACGTCATTTATTAACTCAAAACCTTAAGGTTCAAGTTTATGGGTATTTCTTCTTCTTTTTTTTATATTAGTTATTAAACTCAATTTTATCCTATATGAAACTTTTAACTTGGGCAACCTAACAATATGACACATGCGATTGGTTTATATGAGCAAGAAAAATATGAATATTTTAAATACCAAAGGTCTTTTGTGTGGTCAAAATATTAGTAAATTAGAGTTTTGCAAACGTTGTGTTTTTGAGAAATAAAAAAGAGTTGGTTTTTCTATTGCAACTCATATTACTAAAGGTGTTCTTGATTAAGTATATTCTAATATATGGGGACCTTCAAAATATCTCTCTATTGAAGGACATCATTATATGATGACTATTCTTGCAAGCTTTCAAAAGTGAAAAATTTTAGTTGAGAATCAAATTGAGAGATGTTAAAAAATTGAGAACAAATAATGAGTTAGAGTTATGTGAAAATAATTTTAATGAGTTTTGTATTAATAACGGCATTGCTAAACAAAAGACAGTTGTGGGAAAACTCCAACAAAATGGTGTTGTAGAACATATTAACAGAACTCTGCTTGAGAACGCACATTGTATGCTCTCTAATGCTAGATCATGACATTAGCGCGATTTATGGGCTGGACCTACCTCCACTACATGTTATTTGGTCAATCATTGACTTCACATATCATTTGGACAACTAACACTACCTGATGTATGAGGCATTATCTATTTATCTATCTATCTATCTATCTATCAATGCTAGTGGAACCTAGATGAGCTATGAATTGCAAGTTGACTTGGATTTGAAAATTAATAATTTTAGAAAATAATAATTTAATAATTAAAAATAATTCTAGGTCTAGAAAGATAATAATAACCAATATATAATGAGCATCTTTTTTGGAGATTATGTTTTTTAGGTTGATACGATAATTTCTGTAATTATCTCTTCATATCTCATTCCAGCTATTGTGATAATACGATGGGATTTTAATTTTTTTCTCTCTTGAATGAAATAGCAAATCTTTTAAATTAATTTCAGTTAGTTTGTTGTCATGCTGCTGCTGTTTTGACAATAAGATTTTGATGAAAGATTATTGTTGATTGTTGTAATTAATCTAATGACAATCGCCTCCTCAAAAATATAACCATTTTTATATTTAAAATCTTGGCAACACACAATCACTTAACTAAAATTATCTAAGGATGTCACCCAAAAATCTATATAGATGTTCGCAAATGAAAATGATCATTAGGCTTACTCATTTTTCTCTGGCAATTTCTCAAGCCCTACCCTATATATAAATGGTTGGCAGCGTTTTTCCTTTGGAAACTACCATGCTAAAAGAGTGATTTTGTTGGGATTAGTAAGTTTTATCATAAACTAAACTATTTTTTCAACAAATTGTCTTCATTATTAATGTTTGGGTCAAGTAAGTTTAAATTTTTTGATTTAAAATTATAGAATTTAAGTTATATTATATATATTTGAATACGTATGGATTTGGATTATATTTGAATTTGGGCAAAAAATTTATGAATTTTGATTTTATCCAAATTTAAATTTAAATTTTATCTTAATTCTTTCATAATCATTTGAAATCCTTTTACAATCCTTGTTATTTCAAATCTTCACATGCACAATTGAAATACTAACCAATAGTAATAATTTTTGTTATTTAAACTGCACAAACAAAAAAAATTTAAATATATAAATTTAAAATGTGAGATTTGAAATCCAATCTACTGGTCCAAACATTATCTTAAAGTATTGAATATATATATATATATATATATCTAACAAGTTCTTGAATTTAGATATTTTTTATTTAGTTTAATGGTGCCAAATCTCATGAGTATAGGTCTGAATTTGTACATCCCTACCTGCAGTTTTTTTCAAAAGT